GTCTTTAGTAAATTTTGGCACTATTTTCTTCCCTTATACAAACGTAAGAGATTTAATTATTCTGCCAGGATCTAGATGGGAAAAGTTTTAAAGGAAGATGTGTGATCTTGACAAGGTAGACAACAACTTGTCTGTAATCAAGGGCGTACTCTTGTTAGTACAAAATTCAACGCAAGTGTTGAATTCTGAGTGAGACTAATTGTTGTTATAGCAGGTTGTATTGGACATTTTGCTTGGTGAGTTTTTATTAGATTAGAACATTATGTTTTAAAAATGCAAGTGTTTTGTACTTTCATTTATGAGCAGTTCCAATAAATAAAGACAAGATTGCTTAAAAAGAAAAAAAAAGTAAAGTTTGAAATAAAATTAAATTATTAAATTGTATTGTAAAGAAATTTGTTAAAGTATATCTTCTTAAAAGGGTGTGATAAATTGATAATTGAGAAGAATAGTGGGTCTTTTACAAAATTACTCACTGTATACCCAGTTCTCATGGCTGTGCAAGATGCCAAGGTCTGCTCTGTGTGTTGAGTCTAACTATCATTTATTGGCTCTTCCACATTTCAAGGTAATATTAAATAATATTAAGTAATAATATGTAACTGACTTTACCCATCTCTAATTACTACCCAAATTAGCTACATAATCTAGTTTGAAATTTAAATCTAACTTATTTTATTTGAGATACTATATATTCAAATTAAAGATCAAAATTTAAAAGATAAAATTTATATAAATAAAATTTGAAATTAAGATTTATATAAATAAAAATTTGAGAAGAGTGTAGTGACGTAGCAAAGTAGTGAAGTTGTTGAAACCCCAAATCAGTTTGACTATTGTACTGAGTTCGATTCCTACTGGAAATGTTTAGAATAATTTATCTGTGCCATGGTAATAGTATATCCTAAATTGGGCTAGATTCATATCATCTGTAAACCAGAGTACACCAATGTCTCAAGTGTGGTTTGGAAGACATAAAAGCATTTGTATTGTTATACAAAGAAATGCAAACTGGTATAGGCAGTGCAAACCTATAATAAGGCTTTCTAGATCAAACGTTATTAAGACCTACTTATAGTAGTCTAAGAAAACTGAAACTGGTTTGGCAAATCCCAATTAAGAAAATAATAAATTAGATCTAACCTAGTGCTATCTGATACTACAGAACATATTCAACTAGACCTTAAAAATTAGAGAAGTTGTGTGACAAAGATCCTTTGGGCAAAAGAGATCTACCAACTAGGCTGCTGAGATCACTAGACTACTCCAGTTGTACTTTTCTGGTGACTAGTAGAAAATTCTAGGATGAGATTTCAGAGAAAAAGATCATGTGCTATAAAATCATGGACCAAGGATCAGAAGACTTTCAAACTTGAATCTAGGTAACTCGGGTCTGGGCAGACCAATCCTTCTGGCCATCTGTATTGGAAGACCAATGATACCAAATAGAATAAGGTGTGGAAAGTAATAGAATGTGGTACAAGGATTTGTAAACCTTAAAAGGATAATAGTAAGTAACTGTAGGGTTCAATGGTTAGCTCTGACTCCAAGTATATGTTTAAGTTATAGTATAGTTACCAAAGAATCTAGATGAAACTCTGGGTAGGTGGTGTTCACTTTATTAGGTTTATTTCAAAGATAAATAAAAACTATCGGTTCCATTCTAAGGCATATGAGTATTTCAATAACATTGAAAGATAGTTAGTGAAGTTAGTTGTCCCACATGGTGAAATTAAAGTATATCAGAGATACTCCTATAGCTGGGGTACAGATATGACAGATAGTGTAGAACTCCTAGCATAGCACTAATGCTTTGGGTGAACTACTTAATTAGGCCCCAAAAGTGTATGTGTAACTTGATATACTCTTATTGTAATCAAAATAAAACTTCTAATAAAATCTATGGCCAAAAAGGTTCTCATTAATAATAATAAGAACTATCGGTTCCATTCTAAGGTATATGAGTATTTCAATAACATTAAAAGATAGTTAGTGAAGTTAGTTGTCCCACATGGTAAAATTAAAGTATATCAGAGATACTTCTATAGCTGGGGTACAGATATGACAAATAGTGTAGAACTTCTAGCATAGCACTAATGCTTTGGGTGAACTACTTAATTAGGCCCCAAAAGTGTATATGTAACTTGATATACTCTTATTGTAAGCAAAATAAAACTTCTAATAAAATCTATGGCCAAAAAGGTTCTCATTAATAATAATAAGAACTATTGGTTCCATTCTAAGGTATATGAGTATTTCAATAACATTGAAAGATAGTTAGTGAAGTTAGTTGTCCCACATGGTGAAATTAAAGTATATCAGAGATACTCCTATAGCTGGGGTACAGATATGACAGATAATGTAGAACCCCTAGCATAGCACTAATGCTTTGGGTGAACTACTTAATTAGGCCCCAAAAGTGTATATGTAACTTGATATACTCTTATTGTAACCAAAATAAAACTTCTAATAAAATCTATGGCCAAAGAGGTTAATAATAAAAAAAAATAAATAAATAAAAAGTTGGTAATAAAAAAAATCAATATATAAAATTCATTGTTCAAATCATTATAATTTAAAATTATAGTTCATATTTTGCAATTATTTTAAATTATTATTAATAAAAGATGTTTTTATTATGCTTACTTTATGTTTTTAGAATATATTATTTTCATTTTAAACTTCTATGAGTTTTTATAAATTATACTTTAAAACTCTCTTGGCTCTACAATATTTTTGTAATTATCTATTGTTTGCTCTTCATATTTTTTTCCTTTATTTGGATGTTTTAAGTATAAAATATATGTTTTATTGTTTATTTTGAAAGCATTAACTACTTTTGTTGTGAATATTAAATAATATTAAATATTAATTTTCATTTTAGATTTGCAAAAGAATTTAAAAATTTTTGTTTTATATATGTCAAAGAAAATGTGATTAACTATATCTATCAAATTGTAACAGATAAATTATTTAAACTTTATATATAACTAATTTAAATCTACTTAACATTATCACCCAAATTAGTTATATAATACATAGTAGTTTAAAAATTAAATCTAAGTTATATTATTTTAGATATTATTCTAATTAAAAACCAAAATTTAAAAATTTGAATTAAGGTTTATATATATATAAATTTGACATTAAAAAAATATAATAATAATAATAAAATTATAATAATAATAATAAAATTATAAATTTACTGTCCAAATTATTATAATTTAAACTATAGTTCATATTTTGCAATTATTTTTTTGCTTGCTCTAAATTTTTTATAACTTCTATTTTCTAAAGCAGTACAAAGTTTGATTTTAATATTATTATGATTTAGAAGTTATTTTATTAGTGTAAAATAAGCCAGAAAATATACCTTATTAATATTTCTAGATCTATTTGTCTATTATTTTTATTTTCAACTTCTATTAGTTTTTTATAAATTATACTTTCAAACTTTCCAGCTTAACAATATTTTTGTAATCTCATTAAATTATCTATTGTATACTCATTATTATTTTTTTCTTCTTTATTTAGATACTCCGAGTATAAAATACATGTTTTTGAAAGTATTAGCTACTTTTGTTATGTATAGAATAAATAATATAAGGTATTAATTTCCATTTTTAGACTTGTAAAAGAATTTTTTATTTTTGTAAAAAAATTTTTATATGTTAATAAAAATATTATTAAAATTAATAATTAATTACATTATATTAACTATATTTATTGAAGCTTCAATAAACTCATAAATCTCTTGTGGTGGATTTTTTAATATCAGAACTATAATTGTTTTTATTAAAACTATTCTATAAAAAAGGTTTATATTATAATCTAAAATATATATCTCTATCATGATATCTGAAAAATAAATTGCTAAATATTTTATTTCTAAGTAACTTAAATTCACCAGAATTTTCAAAGCTTTTAATATAAAAGCAATCATGATTAGATAAGTACTTTAGTAATTTTTCTAATTAGACTTTATCTTTATAATAATAAGCCTCATTATAGAAATATGGCCATAGCTAACTTCACAGAAAAGGATTTCCTATTCATGTTTCAGACAATATTTTGACACTTTTATATCCAGATAACATGTCAGTTCAGAATCATCTTCATTTCATTTTAATATTGATTTTGATTTTCTATTAAATTCAATATTGATATTTTCAATATTAAATAGTATTAAGTTAAATATTAACTTAATAACTTGGCTATAGTAAAATTATTCAGTTATTTCTAAAGATCTTACTTCATATAAAGATAATTTCCATACTTGTTCAAAGTTTGTCATAAATGAACAAATTATATTGTAAAAAATTTTTGAATTATTAATAGTATTTGGTATGTTACAATATCCATAATTCATATGATTTATAATGATTTCTTTATTATTGTTAATTTAACAATATATTCTTTAGTTTTATAAAATTTTAATTCTTGAAGACACTATCCTTTCATAATAAGATCAAATAATTTGTCATTATTTTTTTAAAAAATCTTATATTAATTACTTCATTCAGAAGTAAGTCTTTAGAGCATTATATTGATGCAAATTAATTTTATCAAAGGTAACATTTGTGGGTATTGTGTAGTAAACTATTAAAAATTATAAAAAATAAATTATAGCTTATTTAAATATCAAGTATAAAAGTGCTATTAAGAAAAAGATCAAAGTTATCTTGGTGACTACTATATAAAATTTGATAAAAATTTTTTATTTGAATTCTACAAACATGTAGATTTTAAATAAAAAAATTTCATTAAATTTGGTGCAGTAGTTATCAAGATAACTTTGATTAAAATTTTAAATGCAAATATAATTAAAAGCTAATAACAAGATTTCTCTTGACAGCACTTATAAAAAATATTAAATCTATTTACTTTCAATATTCTTTCTCTTATTTCACAACTGTTAAACCCAAACAGGAAAAAATCTTCTTCACTTTCTACTTTAAAAGACATATTGAATTTTTCAAAATTATATTCATCATCCTCTTCTAGATTTTCATTCCAATTTTCTCTATTTTCACTATTTTAGCATTATCCTTATTATCTTTAGTATTTTCAGAATTATCCTCATTATCTTCAAAATCTTCAGTATCAGTTTTTTTATCTTTAACATCTTTAGCATTATCCCCTCTATCTTCAACATACTCAACATAATTAATATAATCAATATCATCTTCTTTATAAAATTCATCTTCATTATCTTCATTTCTCAAATCATCTTGGTACAAATAATTTACATTTTTTTCTTTAGCACACTCTTTGACATATACTCAATAATTTGTAAAATTGGTCTTTTTTAAATCTTGAGTATACAAATAAAATGCCTTTGATATATATTTAAAGGTTATATTCTAAAAATATATATCAAATACAATTAATTAAATATTTGTAGGTCTTTTCTTAAAGAATTAATTTATAAAATTGTATACACATTTTCAAGAAAATTTAGCATTCAAGTATTGTGCAACTCAGATAATAGTTTATTCATAAATTATTATCAAATTATCATTGATATAATTAATATTAATATATATTATACTCCAAAAATTTATCTTATCATAATCTCTTTTAAAAATTAAGTTTATTTTAACAACTTACCCTTCACGAATATTAAATTATCTCTCAATGACATATATGTTATTTTGTATAAAAATATCTACTTTTTCTCAATATAGAACTAAAAGAGCTCTAGGTAATCTAGTTAGCATAATTAAACTGAAAAAAAGTATATAAAATAAACAAGTAGCTATTAATTTCAAGTATGCTGACTTTTTGAACAAGTGGCTAATTAATTTTAAATTATGAACTTTTAGAGTAAATATAATATATTGTATACTGCATATTTAGCACCATATTAGTCATTTGCCAGTATAGATTAACTTAACAATCTTTTTTTTCCTGGCTTCCTGATTTAGCATATCAAATTCTCTCGATTATACATCTAATTGGGATCTTGTAGTTCAATAATTGATTCTAACATGTTTATTAATCACATTCTTTTTTTATTCTGTCTGTAAAATATATAAGTTTTTATCTGTCTAATTACCTAATTCACTCAATTTTTATGTAACAATTTAGAGGTTGAGATTTTTTGTAAAAATTGCAAGGTTTTAATGGCAAGAATTACATATTAATGATTTACTAAATTTGGTTAAAATTTAACCTGATTTGTCTTTGTGCATGGCTATGATTTTCAAATTACGTATCTATTAATATACATATTTAAGAAACTGTGCAATGTCAATGCACTTAAACCAGTAGCAAAATTAGTTGAATACAGAGTATTAATATTAGATTAAATGTTTTAACATAATTATCATCATATACAGTATATTTCAATATACTATAATAAGTTATTTTTTAATGCTGTAAGATTTATTGTGATGTTATTGCATGTAAAAATTTGTGGGCTATGATCACACCAACTAATCAAAAGCAAGTATTTGAATTTGCACACTATTATTAACTTATACACTTCAGCTCACTCTGCTCCTGTATATTTGTTAGACATCACTTTCAAATTTTGGTTAATTAAAAATTGACGTATGAAGCTTTGAAATTATAAATTAATATACTTCATATTTTAATCAGTATCAGTATGATTTTATTAATTAGCAATGCAAAATCAATTTATTTTTATTAATTATTGTATTTAAAATCCATATGTTGAAGATTAAAGTTCTATATAATTTTTATATGCGACTTGGCAAATACAACTACAATAAACAGTACAAAGAGTATTGTTCTTATAACAAGACAACTCCTACTTTCACATTTTGGTTTATTACAATGACAGCAATCATTTTTCTTTAAACCTTGTTTAGTTTTTTGTTGAATATTTTATTTGTAATATTTAGTGGTGGCTTAAGTTTTGTTGTGTACCAGAAAGAAAGTAATTTGCCCATTGAAATTACAGAAAATTTACCAGCATCTAAGAGTTCTAATTCGTTTGCTAAAAACCATGTATTCAAAATTTCAAACTTGCTTTCAACTTGATCTGAGTTGCAATATGCTCATTTTAGTCTATCAATATTATGAATTTGAATTTTATGAGATCACAAGTTTCAAATTTAACATATGCTTTTTAGTTTTATATTATTTTTCTATTAAGATTATAAATCATTTGACAGTTTTGAGTAACATGTCGATTTGCAACCATGAGTATGTTTATCTATAATCAATTTAATTTATTTTAATTAACGTATGTACTTATATTGCATATTAATCAGTATAATTTTTAAAACTATGTATGTTATATTTTAATCAGTATAAATTTTAAATTTAGGTACATTAATTTTTTTTTGTGTTTAGAATCAATTCTGTTTTAACATGTGAACCCTAATTTCAATCAGCTGGTTCTAATATACGAACTAATAAACATTCTAAGTTAACATCTTGTGATTATAGAGTCAATATTTAATTGTATCCCTAATTTATATTGTTAATATATTTATATTGGTATTAATATATAGTATATGATATTAGATTTTATCATAAACCTTATTATTGTTAATATACAATTTAGTACTTTTGATATCAAGTTTTAAGGTAAATTATATTTTAATATAATGTGCAATTTTTAACCAAATATTGTTTATTTGTATATAATAAAGTATAGACATTTCAGTTATTCAATTTTTGTCATCTGATAACAATCAAGATTTTATTAAAATCAAATTGATACAATAAAAAATTAGCATTATTATTGTCTGATTAAGTTTACTACTGCTAGATTTGACTCACATTTTGTTACTTGTTGAAAAATTGCCTATATGCATACTACTATTCATTGTTATCATGGTATTTTCTAATGCAGTTTTTTTCAATTGTCTTTGAATCTTGTTTGTTATTTATTTGATCTCAAGTTTCTTATTCAATAGATCGATGGCAAATGAGCAAATAAACAAGCTACAATTCAAAAATTTGCATTGATAAAGGTTGCTTTACATAATAAACAATCAAATTTCTAACTGATTTAAAAATTGCTACTTTATTTTTAATGCTTGAAGCTTTTAAAGCAAATATAGCCTATCTTTTAATCATTAATCAAACTACAACAAATACTACTATTCCATTTTTCATTAATCTAAATTTAAAAAATTTTTAGCAAAAATGACCTAAACTAGGAAATTTTGAGATTTTGATCAGATGGTTTTTCATGTTTAGCAATAACTAAGATTATAATTTTTTCAAAATATTTCGTATTACTTGTTTCCGCAAAGCAATTTTCCTAATAATTTTGAAAAATATAAAGAGTAGGCTCAAGCATTTAGATATTTGATCATTATAACGATCATTATTTATAGTGCTTTGCAAAAAGATATGCCTCTATAATTTTTGTAATAATAAACAAGGTTAAAAAAATAAGGTCACAAATATTATGAGTACAGATTGAAGGATTGAGGGAAGGAGAAGTAAGAAGAGTTTGAATTATTAAAAGAGAAGTTAAAAATAGTTTGTAGATATTAATTAATATAGATGAGTTGTGAGTGTATAATTTAAGAGTAATAAAAGATTTGAGATAGATAGTTTTATAGTAATGTACAATAATATGATTTGGTAGAGAGCATAATTTTCTAAGTAAGTAGATATAAGCTTCACTAAGGTCTGTTTTAGACCCAGCTCTCATGGTTTTGCAAGAACTAGAAGTACTCTGGTTAGATGTTAAAGTACTGTCATTATCTAATCCTTCCAGATGAATAATTGATATTATAATACCAATTATTATGAAAAAAATTATAAAAATTAATAATTAATAAAGCTAAGAATTAAACTAGATATAATTTTAGAAAATTGTTAAATATTACAGGTTGCTATATTGCATATTAATATGATTAACCAATTAGATCACAGGATCTTGTATAACAAAAACTAACAAAAATTACAAAAAATATCAAAAACTTCAAATATCTTAAAATTTCATTATATAAACTAGTCTTGGGCTTCTAATTAAAAGTTTTTAGCATTTAATTTTGTATATATATATATACTTTCTAACCTTAATCTAAATACTATTTCACAGTCTAACCTTAACTAATAATAATATTAATTTTTTTTTAAATATTAATCTGCAATATCGTAACTTGCTAAATTTAACAAAATTCTAATTTTAATATTTTTTAATTATTATATATTTACTCTTATAAAAATTAAATCGTAAACAATAAAAAAGCTTATGAATTTATTATAACAACAAGATATAGTTATTAAAAATATTTGTTAATAATATTAATAATTTAGATAGTTTATATTAATAGTTATTGTATTATTTAATAATATATATCTATAATATTTGGTGCAGTATACATAATATGAATATATTTTGGTTTTGTAGTTGTTCTATTGCAACTATAGTTACTTTGAATTTTTTTTACTTATTTAATTAATTGCTTTTAAATTATTAGATTATTTTTAATTATATGAAGTTGTTTATATCAAATTTTGCATTATGTTCTATATTTTATTGAGCTTAACATGATATTTTTAGTTTATTTAATTTCTTATATTATAAAGATTAAAAAAAAAAAAAATCAGCAAATGATTAAAGTCATATTGAATAAAAAAAATGATTAATAATAAAGGTTAATTCTTTATACAATTAAAATTTTATTAATCAAATCAATATAGTTAAATTAAAATACTTATATTTTAATTAGTATAAAATTTTAAAAAATATTAATTTAAATTAATATAAATTACAAATTAATATATAATATAGTCTTAAAAATATATTAGATACTAGTAGTTACTCAAGTAAAGTTTTTTTAAACATGTTTAATATTTATTTAAAAAATAATAATATATATTAATTTAAAATTAATTAAAATTTAAAAATTTAGATTTTTTATTTTTTATAAACAATTTTTTAAACAAGAATTTTAATATAATATTTCAATATATTAATAAAATGCAATTATTTGTATTTTAAATAACCATGTTTAAAAATTTAACTACTATAATTTCAAATTTATTAATATTTATTAAAAATTTATAAAAAATTTTAATTTTATTTAATTTATTATTAATATTTACAATAATCTATTTCTCTAATTTTTTTTTTACTTCTTACTTTATATTTAAATAATTTTAGTAGTATAATTGTATTTACAATTAATTATCTAGACTATATTTTATAACACACACCTATTTTCTTTTTTAGATATAGTTACTATTATTTGATTGTAGTATTGCAGTTTATATTTTATTAGAACTATCAAAGCTTTTAAAATATTGCCATTCTTGCTAATTTATATATAAATAAGTAATATTAATTTGTCAATTAGTGACCCAATACCAGTATCTTAGTAAGAGCTTTGATGAAGTTGAATTTGAAATATCTGAAACTAATAATGATAATATTTTTAATAGAATTTGAATACTTTTTTTAGTTTGAGATCTTCTACAAGAATAAGAATTACAAATATCACTTTGCTAGAAGTTTTAAAAAAGCTTAAATATTTTGAAAATAAATCTAAAATTAGCAAATTTTTTTTAAAATATTAAACAATAATTTCTCAATATTTATATAGATGTTCTATAAAATAGGTTGGCAATATAAAAAATAAACTCTGCTAACAATTAGTAATCAGTAATAAATATTTAGCAGAGTTGCAGAGTTTGCAGAGTTTGCCCACCTATTCTATAGTAAAGTTAAGCTTAATAAAGAGACAATTTTATATAACTTGATATTTGTTAGTATATTAATTTTTATTTATTATTTTTGCCTATTATAGTTTCTTTATTATTTCTACATATTCAAGGTTTTTATTAAATATAGCTTTTTTTTTACTAATATCTAAATTTTAAACAAAGATTATTTGGCATCTACTAATTATATTTGATTAATTTTTTTATTTAATTTTATAATCTCATAGAATTAAAATAAAAAGCTTTAATTGAATTTGATTAAATAAGTGCCGAGTTATCTTCATTTAAGTTTAAATATTTATAAAAAAAAAAGCTATAACTAAAATTTTTTAATATTTAATTAATATTTTCAATATTATCTATTTAAATTTGGATGCACTATTAGCCAAATCTTGATTTAGCATGTTAAATTGATTATAAATAATACTTTTTATTAGATAATAAAAGAAATAAAGCTAAAGAAATATTACATAATGTATATAAAATTTAGAACACAATATTATTCATTAATTATCATACTCTTGATTTCAACAAATAATCAAGATAAAAATAAGCTTATTATAAAAAATTCATTAAATCTGTTTTTTTATAAAATTCTCAAAAGCATGATAAGGATAAAGTTCTTTCTAAGTTAGATTTTAAAGCTGATCCCATAACATGGAAGTTATTACAAAAATAACATTTTCCAATTTTAAGTGAAATAACAAGAAATTTCTTCAATTCCTGCAACAAGCACGCTATTTTTTCTGATACAAAAAATGTTATAAGTTCAAAAAGAATATTATTAAATTCAAAATTATTTGGCAGGATGATATTTTTTAAAATGTAATATAAAAACAATTTATTTTATTATTTCGAATTAAGTTTGATATGTAGATTAACATTAAGTAATTTAATATTCAGCATTAGTATAAATTTGATAGAATAAGTCAGCACAAAAAAGGGTGGTTTAGAACAAAGCTTTTTTGATTAAAATGATAAACTCACTGATTATTTTTTACTATTTAAAATTTCCTTTGTGTAATAACTACCTTACTTATCTTAATGACAAGCTTGACTGATTTATTAAAAATACTTTCTGTTAATTAAAATTTAATTCCCAACACATTTTCGACATACTTTGACCCATTAATTTAAGCACTTGATAGTGCCATATATTAACAAAAATTGAACCCACATTTTTGAAGCTTTAATTTCAATAAAATCTATAAAGCAGTAAAACAAGGAAATCCAACTACTTTATCTTGCATAATATTTACACCAAGTTGAACATGCTTTAATACAGTTATTAAATCAGCCCAATAAACAACACCGCCAGCAAGACCTTCAAAAAGACACCATGGATGGTCTGGAACTCGTATTTCACCTCTCTGAGTTTTATCTTTCCACTCACCAGCATATAATCCAAATGCTAATGCTCTTTTAAGTTGTTCTTCATCTCGTGTAACAAGATAAGTAGTGAGAAATGTATAAGCATTACCAAGAGTATTATGACAAAGACCTGTTGCGCCTTTTCTCAAAATCACATGTTCCCAAACTAAATCAGTTTTAGCAATTGCATGCGAAAGAAGATTTTTAGATGATGGATGAGTCGGATACAAAGAATAAATTTTTAAAAAAGCAGGAACTATTCCTGGTGCACCATGGCAAAAACTATGATGTTTGAATATTCATTGTGTTATGAATAAAAAAATAACATTTTATGTATTGTAATTGAAGAGATTTTATATTAAAATGCTTGCTGAACGAGATAATCGTCAGTTGATTGAGTATCAGCAGGATAATTTTTATCCTTTGGAACTAATCCTACAAGCCATTCAAGTGTTTGAAATAATTCATCTAAATAGGGTCGAGCCAATTCTTCACATTGAAGAATGATAGCAATAATTCCAGCTACGTATTTAAAATCAAAATAAATTAAAGAATTGGATTAAAAATAAACATATACATTATATATATATATATATATATATAAACCAACACCATGTATGGCTCCTATATATTCATCACCGTACCAACTCCACATTAAAGCAGGCCTTGTAATTGTGTTATCAGTAGTTACTCTTTTCCTACCATCATTAATGATTAAATCAATGATTTCTTTTAATTTTTCATTTCCAATCCTTGTCATAATTTCCTTATTATCTTTGCAATACTTTCGAATAAAGATTAAAGAATAAAGATAACCAGTTCGACCGTATAATAATTCATTCCAATCATCATTTAATGCCAATGAATGATACTTTTCAAGTATAATTTCAAGGTATTTTAACGATTTTTGAGTATCATTTTCAATAGTCTCGTAAACTACAACGGCCAAAGCCAAAGGTCCTACGTGGCTACCTAGAAATCCAACATGCTCTGGAGAGCTTCTACGAACCGCTGATAAAGAAGCAGATAGATATGTAGTGCACAAAAGAGATACTTTATTTTCATTAATTGTTAGGTCAGGAAAGAGTTGATGTAAGTGAAAAAACATAAAAGAAATTCCTCCGTATCCTACGTTTAGTGATTTAAAAATTATTTAAATATGGAATCAAAGTTTTATAAACGAAAAAAAATTCGTTTTTACCATTATAAATATCGAAATTATGAGTATTATTTGCAGGGGAATATTGAGAGAGAATTACTTCAATGTTATCTATAATAAACTTTTCGAACTTTGCTGGATCGCATTCATTAATATTTGGGAGTGTCAATGTATTATGTAAATAACGTTTCGACATTATTTTTAAATTTGAAAAGTTTTGAGAATGAAGTGTTTATACAACTATGTTTAGCAATATTTACATCATTTTTTTGTGTACCATGATATTAAAGGTAAATGTAAACTATAAAAGGTAATTCTCATTGACGTTAGTACGTATTGTACGTACGTATGTATGTCATAAAAAAGATCACTATAGAAAATCCATGATTCGTACATTACAGAAATAGAATAATCACAATAGTGCCGCAAAAAGTTTAGAACGCCACTTTAAAAAATTTTCCGACTAATCAAATTTTAGGAATTACCTTCTGAGCATTGGCAAAATTGAAAAGAAATAAAATTTTGGTATTATACAACTTGACCCAATACTGAAGATGTAATTCGATCCTAATACGTAGCAATGTTTTTTTTTTTAACAAACTTTTTACAATGATAATGCCTATATTACAAAATACTGTATACCAACAAATTGACCAAATAATTAATGCGGTATTCATTAAAGTGGAAATGAAACTTTGACATATTTTAATTAGAAATTTACGCGTTATGGTATAGACTTTTCTTAGAGGATTTAGAGTTTAGAATTGTTAATAAGAATATGAGTGGATTTTGAAAACTCAAAGAGAAACCAATTCATTTTAGTCTGATTTTAACGCACGAAAAAAATAGCTCACACAAATGACTATCAAGGTTTTGCTCTTCAACTTGCACTGCTCTTGTAGACCTGAGCTGAGCTAAGAGACAATATTTATCATGACTTAATAGTTATTCATACATTTAATGCTAAAATTAACGAAAAAGTAATTGATTTAGCATAAATTCAGAGATACGTATAGTTTTCACCCTGATGAATTATTTTACAATTTTGTGCTAAGCCAATCATCTACTGCCTAATTTTTTTAGCGTACTTAATTACTAATAATGCTTATTTCGATCATGAAATTTTATTGGCTAAATAACAAGAGCGGAGGACGTGGCAAGATCCATTAGATTGGTGGTTTACAATTATTTATCAAGGTTAAAAAAAGCTCACTGGATTAGTGCGACGGTTTCTTAATGCTCATTTGTATATTGATCAATGGTGTGACAAACATGTTTGAGAATTTGGTTTTCAATTGCTATTCCTCGACGAATGAGCAAAATTTTATAACTTTGCAGACCTTATTTAAAATTACAAAGCTATGAATTTTTTTCACAGATTGTGCTTGTAGCTAGATCCTTAGTGATTTTAGATGGCTCGCATCATATACATTTTATTTATGTACTGTAAATGCAGAAATGAAATAAAAAAGATGCCGTTCAACGTAGTACGTACATATGTACCTGTAATATATATATCAGGTATCCGTTAATGTAACATAACTCTACAGTATTAGTAGCACTTACAAAGAGTCATGGGAAAACCATCAACAGAATGGCTCGAAAAAGCTGTTTCCGATCAACATATTAATTATCTTGAATATAATGAATTTACAAACCCCATACCGATCGGTAGTGGAGGCTTTGGAAAGGTTTTTAAATACGAATGGAAAAATTATGAATTAACGGTTGCTCTTAAAGTCGATACTAATTTAATTATTAAAGATCTTATTAATGAGGTATTTATTATTATTACTGTATTAACTATTATTGTTAACTGTTAATATTTAAATAACTTTTTAGTATAATATTAAATTTTAATATTAAATTTTCATAATCATGTAATAAAAGCTTAGGCTATTAAGTAAAGTTGATTGTCATCCAAATATTATTAGATTCTATGACGTTACTAAAGGTCAACGATCAATTTACTACATAATTTTGAGGATGTCAAATAATAATAATCATATTAAATAAAATTATTTATCCGATGCAAAAATAAATAGATAACAGTGGATATTACAATTTGGTTTTACAATATGCTGATGACGGAACTTTACGAGACTACCTAAAAGCAAATTTTATAAGATTACAATGGATAGATAAGCTAGTTATTGCTAAGGAAATAGCACTTGGACTTTTATTTTTACATGATAATAATATTATTCATAGAGATCTTGTAAGTACTATATATTTATAATGATATCTCTCTAAAGGGGTTCAAAATTAAATGTGCGCTTAAAGAGGGTATGCTTTATAGAATTAGTATTTTACTTGCTTTACTACTTGCTTTATTACTTGATTAGTACATTTATAAGATCATGTTTGTATTTTGTGTTCATCTTTCCGAGAATTTCTGACAATATTTGTCAATTTTTATATTAATACGTGAGTGCTATATAAAGAGTACAAATATAAGTCCAAATCTTTTGCACATGCAGAAAGCAAGCAATAACGTTTAGGTGGATGATTAGGAAAGATACGCTTAGGGAGGATGCACTTAGAGAGGTATCACAATATTTTTTACAGAATTTTATATTATTAATTCACCAATACTCTGATAATTAGCATTCGAAGAATATCCTAATTCATCAAAAAAAACCAAAGATCGCAGATTTTGGACTATAAATGAGACGTCTATGGCATCGAATTCAATTGTTCGTGGAATGCCTGCATACGTCTAGCCTCAGTGTCTTTTTAAGCAAGGATATAAACGTGACAAGGGATCAGATGTCTATAGTATTGGAGTAATCTTTTGGGAAATTTCGAGTGGAAAGCCACCATTCCAACACTTTACAAACGAAATGATTGTAATTCACATCTACCAGGGGAAAAGAGAAGAATCAATAGAAGGTACACCATTAGAATATATTGAACTTTATAAAAAATGTTGGGATAGCGATCCAGTTAATCGTCCAGAAACAAATTTAATTCTCAATACTTTAAAACAACTTATTCCTAACGAAACTTTGAGTCAATATCATCATTCTATTGGAATATCATCACAAAATAGTGAAACTTCCTCAAATTATCAAGATGATTCAAATGTACTCGTAAATTCACTTGATATTACGACATCATCACCACTTTATTTACCTGATACAATAAATTCAGACATTTTAATCTCAAGTCATCAAGGTGATATAAAGAAATTTGTAAATTCAATTTATATTACGACATCATCTCCACTTTATTTATCTAAACACAATAAATTCAAATATTTCAGCGCATGACAATAATGTGGAAAATCTTTATGATATTCATGAAGCAGCTGCATCAGGAAATATGGCTAGAGTTAAGGAATTATTAGATACTCATGGTTCCTTTGAAACTACCCCTTCCTTCTTACTTGCTAACGAAGCAAACTTAGATTCTGGTTTAAGCCCGCTACACTATGCTGCCTCTCGTGGCCACCTAGAAATCGTAAAGTTCTTAGTTACCGAAGCCAGTAGTATTATAGATCTTGAAGATCAAACCGGTGAGGTATGTCCAAAATTGTAATAGTAAAATAACAAACAATTTCTTTGGTATCTCACATATATTTTTATATAGACGGCTCTTCTGAAAGCCGCTTACAATGGACATGCCGCTATTGTAGCTTGGCTTTTACAAATGAGTGCCAATGTTGAACAAAAAGACAACGATGGGTGGACTGCCTTACATAATGCTTCTGCCCAAGGTCACTTGCAGATTGTTAAACACTTACTAGTGGAAGCTCATGCTAATGTGGATGTTAAAAGTAACAAAGGGCATACTCCATTAAGTGAGTTGAATATCGAATGAGGAATTTGTTACCGAGATCAATTAATGTTAAATTTTCATTGATGTATAGCTATTTGATGACAGTATGTTCTTTTAAATCAAATGTTTAATAAAAGATTTCTGTTTTAGTGAATGCTGCCTCGAAGGGGCATGTTGACATTGTTGAATATCTCTTGAGTCGCGGTGGTGCAAACCCCTTTATTAAAAATAGTTTTGGAGAAATCGCTTATGATGGAGCTGCTATTTCTCATGAAATATACATTTGCGAATTGTTGGAAAAAGCTGAACGTGAATGGTGGAATAAAAAACCGTCATCACAACGTAGGTTTAAGAAAGGTTACATGACTCTTTATTTAATTTTAATTATTAATATTTTATTTTCTACAGTGTTTTCCTCCAGCGACCTTACGCATACACCAGATACGAATCAACCATATGATCTTAATATACTTCACTGTGCAGTACCTATTGTTATTCATGAAAATCAACGAACATCTTCATTTTTTGGTCTATCTATTCGTGGTTCATCAAAATATTCAGCAAATAACCTTTTGAAAAGTGATGTTTGTGGTCCTTGGTCTCATCATCCTAGTGGGAGACCTCAATCTAAAGAAAGCGTTCAAGTTCCATCAGAAATATCATCATTATCAGTTTCAGATATTTCAAATTCAACTTCATCAAAGCCTTCGCCAAAACGCTGGTATTGGTTCACTGATTGGCAAATTTATTTTACTCATCCACGTGTAGACCAGCAAGGATGGCAATATTCTAAAAGCTTTGATAGTCCTGATGAAATGGACTGCAACACCGCAATCAAACAATAGTGACTGTGTCCGAAGGAGAAAATGGGCACGTGTTATGAAATATAGACTAGATTATTAATTATAAATACAATCATATTAGCTACCACTAAAATCATATGAATATAGGGCGAGAAGCGGAGAAGAAACAGGGAAATGTATTATTGTGAAACTCAGCAATAGATTAAATAAAATCTAAATTTATTTATAAATTTTTGATCAATATTAATGAATTTGAAATTAAAGTGGTTTAATTTTTTTGAACATGGTTATTTAAAAGTGCAAATATGATTACATTTTATTAATGCTGAAATATTATATTAAAGTTCTTGTTTAAAAAATTGTTCATCAAAAATAAAAGATCTAGTTTTTAAAATTTTGACAAATTTTAAATTTAATATTGTTATGTCAGTTTATGATTTATGTTGATTAAATCAACATTTTTTAAAAATATATACTGATTAGAATGTAAGTATTTCTATTTAACTACATTGATTTGATTGCATAAAGAATTAATTTTTATCATTAATCATCTCTTTCATTCAAAATGACTTCAAATAATTTACTAGTTTTTCTTTTTTTTTTACCTTAAACAATATGAGCGAAAAAATCAAAGACATAGAGTATAATTCATTCAGATATAAATTATCTTTAACTTTTTGCAAAGCTTTACAGTTAAAGTTAGAAATATTGGAAAACTAAAAATTAATGCTTAAATTTATAATCAGCTATAACTTGTCAAGCTCATTAGGATATGGAATATGGTGCAAAATTTGACACAACAACTGCACATGACTATAAATAATCCATTGATTCAAGAACAAGTGATGAACAAGTGATGAACAAGTAAAGAAATTAAAGTAACTGTAGTTGCAACAGAACAACTGCATAACTAAGATCTATTTATATTATACACTCTGCACCAGACATTGTAGATATATATTCCAGGATGATACAATAACTGCTAATGTGAACTATCTAAATTACCAACGTTATCAACAAGATATTTTTTTTTAATAACTATATCTTGTTGCTATATTAAATTTATAAGATTTTTATTGTTTATCGCTTAATTTTTATCTTTAATTTTATTTTTCATTTTATGATTTTTTAAGAACAATATATAATGATTGAATAAATATTAAAATTATATACTATTTAATTTTTATCTTTAATTTTATTTTTCATTTTATAATTTTTATTTTTATTTTTTTCATAATAATTGGTATTATAATATTGATCATGCTATAACATAAATTATGATTCAAAAGTGATTTATGCTTAGGTCAATTCAAAACTAATATATTATGAATTGATGCAAAACGGCTTAAGGCGTTTTTTTACTTTTACATATGTTCGAAGATGTTGATAAAATTAATTCCATCATTTACACCAATTCAACTCAATATCAATTTCACTACTTTAATTTTAGTTCATCAACATCTTTAGTTCAAAATGTATTGTTAGTTATACGAAGAGTGAAGTGAAGTGAGCAAATTCACATATCTGATTGGATAGCAATTTTAGTAGTTCGTGAGAAATCATTTTTAGTGTAATTCACTACAAAAATTTATTAAAACTCTACAATAATTCTAAAAATTCAGTTGGCTTGAAAACTGACATTGTGTTTGTAATATTTGTTCCTTTTATCATTTTTTCTTTTATAAAATCTTTTATTTGAAATATCAAAATTAGATTCGATTGCAACGTAATAGTCAAAACAAATGCTTTTTCAAAATAAAAATTTGTGGTTAAGTTTAAAATTAAAACTAATAAACCGCATTATAGTTAGTGTTAAAATTTCACAATACTGCAATAACCATTTTAATTAGGCTGCAGAAGGTGTTTGCCTAATTAAAAATTTAACCAATTTTTATTTTTCTATTTTACATCACACCTACTCTTGAAATCAGAATGCATGCGATCCGGTCAATAATGCATAACTAGAGATTCGGGTAACCAATAACGTGGGGGTTTTGCCTTGAAAATGACTTTATGAAACATGGTACTATGCCCCATAAGGTCATTTCAAGATAAAAACCTACATCATAGTATAATATTTCTACACAAATTTTTGAATTTTTTTATTGATGACTCGGATATATCTCACACATAAAAACAAAATTTAAAATCTCCAAATCATATCATATCGCCTTCATAATCCTTTACAGTAGCTGACAACAAAATCTGCTATTTCTGTGAGCGTGATTTTTTTTTAAAAAAAAAATTTCAAATACGTACGTACGTACGTACGTAATAAATTTTTTTTTAACCAATACGAACGTATGTACTATCGCTATACTGATTTGCGAATTGATGATGATATCCGAATTTTTCCGGGTCCCTGTTGATCAGATTATAAAAATGACGCATTGTTTACGTACTGTACAACGTTTTCTCCGTATTTACCATTTTCCCATAACGATAAGCATAGATCAAGTCAGCCTAATAAACACAAGCGATTTAACCGATAACACACCGATTTATTTTTCTCATGGCATTGGCATCAAAATTATTCATGGGCGACATACCTGAATTATTGGAAACTATTCTAAATAATTTAAATGAAGATGTTCACTCTTTATATTCATGTGTTCTTGTGAACCGCTTATGGTGCAAATTATCTATTCCTATTCTTTGGAGGGATCCATTTTCATTAAGTCAAGTTACTTCATTTATATCTAGATACTTTTCATCTCTCAACGATCACGACTCTTTTATATTAAACGAATGTGGAATACTTGTAAATTTTCCGATTACTCTATTTCATTACGCAAGATTTTTAAAAGTCTTGGATTTGTTTGTTCTGGATTATCTAATCGAAGATTTTATCGATAACTCGAATATTAATTCACAAATGGATAAAAAGTTAATAAAAGATGACTTGGCTAATTTATTATTTAAATTATTTATCGAGAGAGGTGCCACTTTGTCTAAATTTAATTTATATATGTCTGATGATTTTGGTGATGAAATCTTTGATATTAGGCCTGAGATTTTTTATTCTTTAGGTCAAAACTTGTGTTTTTTCTCTCAGCTCAAAAAGTTAACTGTCAACATAAAACTTAATCCATGTCCTCCAAACGCTATTACATTATTAAGAATCTTAGATGACAATGCAAAAAAACTTAATAAATTAAAATTAAGAGCTAATGATAATGAGCAACAACTAATTCGCACTCTCGCTAGTGTCATTAAATCTCAAGAAAAGCTAAAGTGTCTCAAATTGTTCAATAGTTCTGGACATATCATTTCAGCTCTGAGATGGCAAAAAAATTCATTAAGAGAAATTAAAATTAGTAATTGCAATTTTTCTAGCGTTGAATTTAATGAACTGATGAATTGCAAAAATTTGGAAGTTATTCGTATATATCATGATATGGATATAGACGAATTATTGAATAAATTAGGCAACAATTTTAATAAGATTAACACTTTAGAAATTTGTGCTTATTCGATTAATGCTTCAAATATGGTACAAATATTACAAAAGGCTGGCTCTTCATTAAAGAGATTAAGACTTTCTTCGGAGCGAAAGAAAATTTATTCATTATCGTCTTTATTCAAAACAATTATATCCTACTGTCCAAACATCACTTATCTTAGCTTTTCTAGAATTAAGCTTTCTAATCGATTCTTGAATTTTATTGGATGTTTACAAAAACTTCAATTTATTACCTTAGACTGGATTGTTAATGGATCTGAAGAAGAAATGAAAACTTGCGTTATGAATTTTGCTAAAATTTTACCATTATCATTACATTATCTTGCTTTAGATAATGGTTGGGATGGTTTATCAAACTTATATATTGATATTTTTCTTAATAATTGCAATTCTCCTTTAAAAAAGCTATTATTGAAAATTGAACAAGGTGATAAAAAATTAGTAGACGCTTTAATTGGATTTTACTTAAGAAAGAAGACTTTGAGTAAAGTGTTTATATATAATTGGATTAGGAATGATGCCAAATGGGATAAATTTAAAAAGGAAATAGAAGAATATGTTGAAATGGTACCATTTGAAGATATTTATATTAATTGTTAATCGTTACTATTACTATTGAGAGTAGGGTTTGTTATGCAGCAGCTTCTATTTATCAATTGACATGTGATATTTTCTACGTTTCAAATTTATAATTCTTTTTATATCATCTTTATAATTAAAAAAAAAAATTCTATTTCATAAAACGAAATAGTTTTACATTTTAAAATTTGCTAAACACATAAATTTTCTATATCGATTTTTTTTAAAAATTTGTTTTCGTATGCTTGATATTGCTATTGCTTTTACTTTACAAATAAAAAAATCGTTATTATATGCTTTTATACAGTATTAAATAAAGTAGTCAATGTTAAAAATATTATACATACATAATAAAAAAAAAAAAGTTCATTTGATATTAATCCAAATAAATCCTTCATTTATCATAAAAGTTATTGATTATTTGACCAGCGTTTGAATGAAATGCCGGTAGATAATGATTCTAAGTAGGGTTGTTAAATGGAACAACGTTCTTCGAGTTAGCTTCTCGATACTTTATAGTATACAAATAAATGCTTCAATTTATTAACTCTTTTAAAAAAAGCAATCTTAATACTTTTTGTTATATATTCCGGCACATGTAAAATTAATATTCTTCGTACTTTCTTCTTGCATATTTCAATCTATGTAAAATTCGTTATAATATAATAAATAGTATAAAAAGGTAAACTAGTGCTTTTTTCTTTTTTTTTCTGTAAAAATAGTATGTTTATATATTTAAGCTAACATTTAATTAATTTTTGAAAATAATCAATGTGCGAAATTCAATGTTCGCAATGTTTTCCAAAACTCTAATCAAATTAAAGATTGAAAATATTCTTGTTAATTTTATATCAGCTCAATAGTCTGATCCACATCAATACGCAAATTATACTGCAGTGATGATAGATGATCTGAAATGATCCAAATGACTAGTCATTGGATCATTTCGAGGGCCAAATGACTTAACATATGTTAATTAGTATTCTAATTCCCTTTAGCC